CGTAGAAGAGAAAGCGATAATGAGCCAGATGATTCTTCAAGGTAAAAACAAATGTTTGTTGCTATAATGATTGTTGTCATGCTGCTTAGTATGATCATCAGGCAATATTATTCTTAGGTTATCCAGCTTTTTTTTAGATTAAAAAAAATTAAAAAAAAAAAGCAAATCAGATAGTTATTTACAATTTAGGCTATCCAGCTATAGAAAATGAAATAATTTTGCTCCTTGCTTTGACCAAATTGAGCAGCAGTTGGACAACGAAGTCATCAAACTTTTCATGCAATGTGTTGTGCAACCTCATTGTAATGATTGTAGAATTAAAAAGTGTATGTAAAGAAATAGTCTTTTTGCAAAGAGTAGTGATGGCTTCTACTTTTTTTAGTTTTTACTTCATTACGAATGTTTTTCTAAGGATGGAGTGGTAATGTAGACAATATTAACCTCTTAACTTTCAATGAATGGTATTGCCTGCCAAGTTGCACTACCTTATCGCCTAAATTAATACACCTCATAGATACAAAGTAATACATGTAACTGACAATASTTGTATGATTTTAAAATAGATATGGTCAACCTGCTGGAGAGCAAGGTACAAATGAAGCTGCTGTCGAGGCYGAGAAGCCTAATTTTGGTCTCTCTGGTAAACTAACTGAATATACAAACACATACAAAGTAAGTGAAGTTTTTTTAGTTGAACTAAAGGTCTTGAAAATGACCTCAATTACTGTTGGTGCTTCTATTTTTGTATCTTCATTATAAAAGCAAAATGCATCCATCTCATTGTCACAGACTTTACCATAAGTCAYATAAGACCTTACAGTGCAACTACTGTAACTCAGGGCCACTTTGACCAGTTRGACAAGAGAACCAATTAAAATTGTAGAAAGAAAACAATGCATTCCAACTTTGGGTAGTCGAGCCAATCAGAAACATAAACTGCACTAAAATTGTAATTTGACCCTCATGTTACGTGTAAAGGGAACTAGATAGTYATCTACATTTTCTCAAAGATATGTAGAAAGGTTATTGTTTTCTGCTGCTTTCTGATTGGCTCCACTACCCAAAATTGGAATGTACTGTTTTTCTTCTTCTATAATTTGATTGGTTCTTGCTGTCTAAGTGGCACCGGTTATATTATGAAGACAAAACATGTTACTGTGAAATGCTCCATACTATGGCCACCCAACTTATTTTTTACTAGTTAGCCAATCAGACTGAGAGAATTTATACATTTGCAAGGGAACTTACTTAGCATGACCATTGGTCCCTTTGCTAACACTGGATACTCTAGTCTTTTAATGATTGATGGAAACAGCATTTGTAAAAACATTCGTTGAGTAGCCATTGTATGGTGCATCATGCTTTAACCTGTTAGTAAGCATGGCTTCTATAGTTTGGGCTTCCTTCCCTGCTTTCCTTTAATTTTTTTACTTATTGAAATAATTTGCCTTTTTGTTTAAGGGTGTTGTTATAAAATACAATGAACCACCTGAGGGCAGGAAACCAAAAACAAGATGGCGRTTATATCCTTTTAAGGGAGAGGAAGGACTTCGTAAGTATTCATCACACCACAGGCAACTTAAATGTTGGATTTAAGTGACAGTAACAGTCCATTTGCAGGAAATAATCACATGATTGTTACTGGATGGAAAAAAAACATTGGGCTTCTTTTATTGAAATACCTTTTGCTGGATTACTAATGTCATATCCAAAACCTCTTTCAAAACACTTTTCTTCCCTTACACTGTATAAGATACTGTACTTTTGATTTCTAGATACAAAGCAATCTAAAGTTTGTTTGCCATCCATCAGAGCCTTTCACAAGGGACCTTTGGCTGAATTGATTTGTTATCAAAGCAATAAATCAGCATGTGGTTGTTTGTTGCAAATGGCCTATTATGATCATTATTTTAATCCCTTATGTCTGAAACAATACTTATTCTTGAGTCAGACTCAGCTCATATTAAGTTTTCCTATGCTAGTTGCAATATTTGAACTTTTTCCCAGAGTGAATGAGGTGACCATTCAGCAGGATTTTTTCCTTTTTTTCATTCACAGCTGTCCTGTACATTCACAGACAGAGTGCATATCTTTTAGGAAGACAAAGACATGTAAGTTCACAACAGTACTGTTTATATTGATGTTTCTTTCAAAGCCCAGCAAATTGGGCTAATAGTGTGGAAGCAGTGCGATGTTGCGAAGGGGAAGATCGTACCTATGCAATAATGTGTGCAAAATCGCAGAAAGTAAAAATGGTTTAAAATGTTAAAGGTTCGAAGTCCTGTGTGTTTCAATCTTGCATTGTGTCTTTAAATTAATGGCATCATGGAGCAGAAAGGGTTTTGTGCCTAAACCAATCAAAATGCACAAAATCATCCACTATCACAGCACAGATCAGGACTTTGGAAAAGGATCCAGTGCGACACTTTTCCTGTTTCTAGATATCCATCTCCTCTGTGCTTGTCCTTTTTTTTTAGAGAAATAATCTTTTCTTTAAGGGAGCATTCATTTTATAGGAGGGGGAGGGAGCCAGAGGAATTAGGTTGGTCGGCAGGAGGCAGAGGAATGGGGGGGGGGGGCATTTTCAAATTTCAAAACTAAGCCGGGTGGGCTAGCGAATTGAGCACGTATGCTAACAGCTACATATTCCTCCCTCACCTTCCTCCTTCTAAAAAAATGAATGCCCTCTAACTGGTGATATCTTATTTTCGTTTCTTTAGATAGCAGATATTCCAATAGATCACCCATCCTGTTCCAAGCAGCACGCAGTATTACAGTACAGGCTGGCGAACTACGACAGACCGGATGGGACGTCAGGGCGTAAAGTTAAGTAAGTCCACCTATAGTATATACGGTACGGTACATGCCTGGTTCTCTTCCTATTTCCCATGTCCTGATCACAAGAGACGCAGGCCATTTTCATATTTACTAGACCCAGACTATTAGATATAAGCGTCAGGGTTTTTGGCTTTCGTCAATCAAATTTACRCTGRATTTCTAATTTTCTYTTTTWCTCTGATGGAACGGGACTAACGTCYATATTAGTACAAGGTTTTTTTCACTGTGTTTAAGTTTTTTTCTGTTTTATTGTTGTATTCAACACACTGGTCTTTCACACAATAGTTATAATCAGATTCCAATAATCTGGTTACACTGTAGAGATAATATTTTGATCGATGAAAGCCAAATTCCGAGAGGTCTTGAAATGAGTTGGTTGTGAAAATGGGTGTAAACGGCAAGCGCGCACTTCGTCTTCTTTGGTTCCGGTGTATCTGCCTCGTTCTCTATTCACGTCTAGAGGACAAGACGTAGTAGCCAGATCCAAATCGTCCAGATCAACTACCTTATTCCTGTCCTAGATTTTCTGATGCTGAAAGTCCCTATTGCCTCTGACAATTCCGATCCACTGGGGTAGGTTCCTGTGTTAGAAACTTTTTTGATCATTTTCTGATGTGTTTTATTCTAGGCCATATATCATCGATCTTGAATCTGCCAATGGGACATTCCTCAATAACCAGAAGATTGATCCGCGGAGATACTACGAGCTTAAAGAACGGGTAAGCTTGRTGGMCGTAACCGTACTTTGCATGCGCSGCAAATKTTCRTGCATACTTRATYTGCTCCATCAACATACACTGACRAAAACMCACCGYGCTACCATGCACGACATTGATAAGTTAAAGCGCTGAAAAACTTGCATGACAGCAGAAGAGAGGTTGAAATAGTGGTGAAGATAATTGTGACTGATACCTGCCTTGCGGCATACTGTAAGTTTCAGGTCAGTTCTACGTTTWTCGAATTATGTTACATGATACACGTAAAAATTTGTCCCACAGCGTCGCTAGTAAAACACAAATTCCAGCCAACAATTTCACCAGTTTAATAATCTTCCAGTCAGATTTTTGTATGGTTAGGGAACACTTGTTGATCAGCCTACTTCTTTCAACATTAAAGWCATTATTATTTTTTCCTCAGGATGTACTCAAATTTGGATTCAGTTCACGTGAGTATGTYATACTTCACGAAAGGAGTTCAAACRTAGCTGAAGAWGATACAGGAAATACWGGYGAAGGAGCAGGAAGYAGCAGTGATGCTAGCAGTGATGCAAGCCCTGAATAACCAATCACTGGAGCTGATATGCGAGACTTATTCCTTTTCGAGCCCCCTGTGGCAATCCTGGTTGAGAGAAACTGGGTCAAAAGTAATGTTTTCCCATTTCAGATCGCATGTTATTTTCTTTAAGAATAAGATTCTTTGTTTGAGTTGTATCCATGTTCATGTGTCTTCTCGTGGACAACCATTAAACAAAGATATCATACTCTAGGGAATGACAAAGGGTTTGAAATGGGGAAACATTATTCCTAAACCAAAAAGATCTATCAATTGTTCTCTTTGTACATAGCCAGTTTTAAGGTAGGTCAGTTTTAAGGGCCCTTTAAAACGTGTCCAAATCTAACTCCAAGAAAAACACATTCCATCGTTGCTTGACAGTGACTAAATGGATCGAACCTCATGAAAATCAAAATAAATGTTATTAGTTCTTTTCGTGCGACCCACATAATGCCTCGCGCTCCAGGTATACGCAAATSACAACGTATGGAAACTTTAAAATTCAGAAAGAAAAACGAAAAGGATTTYTGAAATAAAATGTCGAATTATTGCCATAAGAAGTTATCAGTTCAGACAGAAGTCTGTTTTAAAGAATGATAATAACAAACCTCCTCTTTGAGTGCAGACAATATATCCATGAAAAATTATCAAAACTTATCAGTGCGCAATTTCGACTTTTTCATGTGTTTTGACTTCCTAGAGCGTGTGGGTCTTGGGAAAATGACAACTTACTTACAATGAATAGGACGTTTGCATGATGGCGTCATTTGACTCCCACTACCATAATGTTTCGCGAATTTTCTTTCTTATTCAAATTTGTATTCCCTCATGAGAATAGTAAGACAGTTTGTGCTAATTAACTGAACAAAAGAAAGTGTGCAAGGGARTCTGGTAGTAGAGGYCAGTGASGCCATCATGCAAACGTCCTATTCTCTCGCATAGAAATACATTTACATCCCTATGTTCACCTTTATTTCATAACCTTTTTATAATTAAGTGTATATTTGCTATAATGTTTTGTATTATTAAACATWTTCATTGAAGTGGGGCCAATATTTTTTTTTTTAAAGCCATTTATAAAACAATGATGTAGAGTTTTATTGAAACCCCCTATAGACAGACAGATCAGACAGGAGGAAAGACGGAAAGAAAGAAAAGGGAAGAAAGAGAAAGGGAAGAAAAGAAAAAAGAAAAAGGCAAAAGTGAGAAAGAAAAAATGAACGAATTAAAAGAGGAATGAATGAATGACAAAATGAAATAGAGAAACTTGTGAAGACTTTTTAATTCATAGTAGTGCCAAGGTATTTGCGATATTATACACTCTGTACTTTCAATGGCCGAGTTCATTGAAAGTTGCTCTGTTGTTTGCTGCAGAGACAGACAAGTAGGGGAGAGGAACGTTTACGCTGAATGCATTTTATATACGGATMTAGTGACTTCGTTTGCTTTAATATCTTATTTAAGATCATGTTATTACGGAAAAAGAGGTATTTATATAGACATTTTGTTGTTCACGCTTTCAACCACCTCAATGACTTTACCTTTTGATACATGTGTTTGTACAAGGCAAATCCAAACCCAAAATCAAACTGCCTTTGGCGGGCAATGTAACGATTTGACACCAGGGCCGGGTTGTTCAAAGCTGGATTAGCGCTAATCCAGGATTAACTCGATAGGTCTTATTAAGAGTTAACCCAGGATTAGCAGTAATCGGGCTTTGAACAACTGGGCCCAGGTGTGTTAGATGCACAGGGTATATTGTTAGTATATGATGTACAGTGTATTTGATATGTTAGATGCGCAGAGTACATTGAGTATTGAATACCCTGTGCACTCTTTAATAGATAATTACTGAGGCACGCAGCATTCGTAGGTATAATGCAGGCAGCTGAGGGCGTAGCCCAAAGCTGCGCTCATTATACCTACGAATGCTGTGTGCCGAAGTGATTATCTAGTATAATTATTTTTCTTATCAAAATCCAATTGTTTTCTTTCTAACTTGTTTATCATAGAAACAAAGCCAATAATGAATGAACTAAATATGTCTGATTTTCCTCTATGCATTCATTGGGATAATGCAGACTGAAAACAATGGATTTTGATAAGATCAGTAATTATTAATGCATTAGATACACTGCGCACACCAGGTTAGTTAGATGCACAGGGTATATTGTTATTATATGATGCATGGTGTATTTGATATGTTAGATGAGCAGGGTACAGTGAGTATTAAATACCCTGTGCACTTTACATTTATTAGATACACTGTGCACACCAGGTGTGTTACAAAGTATATTGTTAGTATATGATGCGCAGTGTATTTGATATGTTAGATGAGCGTGGGTACAGTGAGTATTGAATACCCTGTGCACTTTACATTTATTAGATACACTGCGCACACCAGGTGTGTTACAAAGTATACTGTTAGTATATGATGCGCAGTGTATTTGACATGTTAGATGAGCAGGGTACAGTGAGCATTGAATACCCTGTGCACTCTACATGTATTAGATACACTGCGCACACCAGGTGTGTTACAAAGTATACTGTTAGTATATGCTGCGCAGTGTATTTGATATGTTAGATTGATAGTAAGCAATTGGATACACTGCGCACACCAGGTGTGTTAGACGCACAATGTATATTATGTAAGTATATGATGCAAAGTGTATTTGATCTGTTAGATGACCAGAGTACAGTGAGTATTGAATACACTGTGCACTCTACATGTATTAGATACACTGCGCACACCAGGTGTGTTAGGTGCACAGGGTATACTGTTAGTATATGATGTACAGTGTATTTGATATGTTAGATGCGCAGAGTACAGTGAGTATTGAATACCCTGTGCACTCTACATGTATTAGATACACTGCGCACACCAGGTGAGTTAGATGCACAGGGTATATTGTTAGTATATGATGCACAGTGTATTTGATATGTTAGATGCGCAGGGTACAGTGAGTATTGAATACCCCGTGCACTCTACGTGTATAGGTTGCTATCAATAGACGTCACTTCCGGTAATAGCTCTTTTTTGATGGCTTGTAGAATCCTGGAGGTTGTTTTGATCTCTTGTTTTCTGGTTT